TAAAAATAAATTGGACTTAGATTAAAACAAATGGACTTAGGCTTGGATTAAAATAAATGGGCTTGGATTAATGTTAATGGGATTAGACTTGAGTTAAAATGAGATGGGCTTGGATTTAAAAATAAAGTGGACTTAGATTAAAACAAATGGACTTAGGCTTGGATTAATGTTAATGGGCTTGGACTTAAATAAAATAAACTTGATAATGGACTTGGATTAAAATCAAAAGGCTTGGTTTTAAAGTAGATGGGCTTAGACTAACGAAAATGGGCTTAGGCTAAAATAAGTGGACTTAGATAGAAATAAAAAGGATTTTAAAATTTTAAAGAAAATTTAATCTTTTATAGAGGAAATTAAAAAAAAAAAGAATTGGACCTTCTTTAATTATTAATGAAACTAATAAACAATATTAATAAACGAAGGTTGTGTTCCCGCTATGAGTACCATGGTTGGTATGTGAGCGCTAAGTGAATCCCGAGTGATGGTTGGACCGTGAGTATGGCTTAAGAAAGAAGGGTCTGGTACCCGAGTTTGGTTAAATGTGATTAAACATGTCATCATGTGCATCATATGCATCGGGGGTGGAAATAAATTGAGAAAAATCATCGAGTCTTGAATTGACACGATTTGGTAACCAAATTGAGTGGATTGGGTAATAGCAAGGAATCCATAGTACGAGCTCTATTTACTAACACCATTAAGCGAGGGATAATTCCGCTAACCGTGTGCTACAACGAGGGATAATTTTGCTAACCGTGTGCTACAACGAGGGATAATTACGTTGTGAGCGAGTAGGTGATATTGAGATCACCGAGAGAAAGTAATAGAGCGAGTAGGTGATAACACAATCACCGAGAGATTGGGCGCACGGACTTGCATATACTTAGGGTATCCGGATTAAAATGGATGAAAATATGAAAAACATAATAACATTGCATATCACGTGCATCACCCTACTTACCGAGCTTTGGCTCATTCTATTATTGTATTTATGTGTTATTCGAGCAAAGGCAAAGTTAAGCTCGATCGAGGATGCTATCGATTCTCGCTAAAAGAGGCTCATGTGTCACTCATAAAAATAGGAATATCTTTTGTGTCATTAAAAAGGGGTACGAGCCTAGGTTGTAAATTTTTAGGCATTTTGAATATGTTATAAATTATAGAACTATCTGTAATAATGTTGTAAATTATATCATACGTTTTCCATGGTTTAGTTTCGTTATGTATGATGGAGGAAGTAGGGGACTTAGTCCCAACAAGTGTGTCGCGTCGGTCACGCTTGTTAGGTAATAGGTAAGGGAGCCGGGGCGTCACGACTACTTTCAGTGCCTTTTTTGGAAAACTTTTCTTAAAATGGCCCAAAGTTAACGATAGATTTTGGAATCTATCACTAAAATTAGTGACGAACTTCAAGTTTGTCGCTAATTTGTGCTTTTTGTAAGGGAAATTCTTCTAAAATGGCCTAAAGTTAGAGATGAATTTTGGAGTTCGTCGTTAATTTGTGCCTTTTTTAGAGGAAAATTACCCAAAATAGCCTAAAGTTAGCAACGAATTTTGGAATCCATCGCTAATTTGTGCCTTTTTAGGGATAAATTACCCCAAAATGGCCTAAAGTTAGTGATGGATTTTGAAATTCGTCGCTAAAATTCGCGACGAGTTAAGATTTTGGGGGAAAATTTCTCTTAAAATCCCGATCAAGTAACGACGAACACTAAGTTTGTCATTACCTCATCGACGCTTAGAGACGAACGTCATGTCCGTCACTACCTCATCGACGTTTAGACATTTTTCGCTAAACTTTCAAAATTTGGAGGGAAATTTCCCTCTAAATTAGTGATCACGGCCCGTAATCCATCGCTAATCGCCGACGAAATCGGATCCGTCGCTATTTTGCCTTTATACATACCCCTTTTCTTCTTTTCTATTTGCTTCCCTCACCTCCACCACACCTCCTCGTCCGTCGCTACCCACAAAAACGCCCACCCACACGTACCCTTGCCACTAAATCTTTTTCAAAACCATTCAACAAAATAAGGGGTATCTTTCTCTCTCAAAATCGATCGATTTGTGTTCTCTATCCTTAATCTATCAAGTAAAACTTTCTCTTTCTAACTCTTACGTTTTTTTTAATTAAATAATTGTTATAAATTTTTAGTTAAATTTTGTTATTTGTTAGTTTATTAATTGTTTGAATGTTGTTAATTATTTTATTATGTTAATTTTTTGTTAAGTTAAGTTGTATGTAGTAGTTTAAATTTGTTAGTTTTTATTTTTTATTTTTATAACTCGTTAGATTAATTTTATTGTTATGTTAATTGTTCAGGTTAATTTGTATGTTAACGTAAACCTTAAAAATTTAAATTTTATTAATTTTTAGTTGTTAGATTAAAATTTAATTATTTAATCTTAAATTGTTATTTTAATTAAGTGAATTAATTAGCTATTTATTTGTTTTTAGTGTTAGCTTAATTTGGTTAGTTGTTTGTTTAAACTTAATTTTGAAATTACATAATTTTTGATGTAGTTTAGTTAAATTTGGTCAAAATTATATAATTTTTGACATAGTGTAGTCATTTTGAATGTAAATTTTATAAGTAATTTTATTAGTTTAATTATTAAAATTGAAATAAGATAACATGCATAATGATTTGATCGTTCCTTTTACTTAGCCTCCAGCTCAACCTCTAGTCGATCCTTCAATCGAGCCCTCCACACAGTATGAGGATATGATATGGGATTAGACTAGTAAGATGAGTAATATAATATTCAATCACTTTTTTTGTTTTCTTGTTTTTTTTTTTTTTATGAAACGTATTCTAGAATGATTTTGTTAATATTATTTTATTTATCATATATACATGATTACTTATAATTTTTTATTATTAAATGTCATATTAATAATTTAATTTTGAAAAATGTCAACAAAAGGGACGAAATTGTGGAAATGTTTTTTTTTGAAATTAGTGACGGAATAGTGACAAATTGGCGATAATTTCGTTTTTCAAAATTAGCGACGGATCTATTTTCAAAATTAGCAATGGACTAGTGACGGATTTATTTTCAAAATTAGTGATGGATTAGCAACGGATTTATTTTTAAAATTAACGACGGATTAGCGATGGATTTATTTTTAAAATTAGCAACGGAATAGCAATGGATTAGCTACGAAAACAAAAAAGTGATCCTACGACAAGATTAGCGATGAATTTTTTTTTATTTAGCGACGAACCGAGTATTTCGTCGTAAAAATTTAGTGACCAGGAAAATAGCAACGGAATATGGTCCGTCGCTATTCTATCGCTATTCACAATGAGCAACGAAATTGGAGCATTTAGCTACCGAATATTCTATTGCTAAACTCAATTTTTTTTTTTTTAGTGTGCGTTAATAAAGGTTCAAGATGAACATAGGCTTGGTTATTGTAAGGGCACTGCCCTTGTTTGCTAATAAAATAAAATAAAAAAATTGTTTCTTAATATTCAATATATATTAGTGTCTCGCTTATTGTGCGTGGAGAAATTAGTTATATGTATAAAGTTTTGATATCAAATATGAATATGGGATAATAACAAAACCAAATACCTAAATAATTACTAAATTAAACTTTTTACTAATTCCTATATGAATATAATGCCATCTCCAAAATTTACTACTCCAAACCTCTTCCCTTTTTTTACTTTTTGCTAAAGTTTTTTTTTTTTTTTGGTCCATGTTATGTGATTTTTATTTTGTTTTGACATTAAAGTTTTATTATGTGTGATTTTTGTTCTTGCCTTATGTATAATGATTTTTTTTTAATGCCTTTTTGGCTTTTAGTGATTTTTTTTTCTATTTTGATATGATGATTATTTTATTCTAGTCACTAAAGTTTTATTATTTTTATTTTGCATATATATAAAATCTCTATCATTTTGTGTTAATTGCATCAAGATGAAAGAGAGTTTCTTAGGTTCATTCATTAATGTGATTATCGTTAGAACTCTCCATTTTAAACATATTGGAATTGATTTTTATTTTATTAGAGATTTAGTTAATAAAAGATAGCTGCCGGATGGATCTTTGTCTTCGGAAGACAATATAGTTGCAGGTTCGATTTTTTATCTTCTAAAGACTGGATAATTGATATCTTTGCAAAGCCTCCTAGCACGGACAGGTTTGCATTTTTAAGAGACAAAGCTTATGCTCATTCCGCTTAGCCATTCCCGTAAAGGAGCTAGGCTGTTAGAGATATTCTAGTAGTAACCAACTCCAGTTTTATATTGTTCTAATAAGTTAGCAACTCTCTTGAATGTATCAAGTAGTTCAGGCTAAGAGTGATGTAAATTCAAATACTAGATAGATAATAGACTATCTTTATACAAGTTGTACTATAAAATCCATCCCTGCAAATATTCTCTTCCTCTTCTTCTATTAGTTTCCAATAACATAACAGGAGGGAAGATGCATGGGGAAAACTCTTTCATGTGTCATATTACTCTCCTAAGGGCTTTGTTTCAATACACGTACATTTATCCTAGTCTATATGTAATTTTAGATATATAAAAGAATGGCCATATCATTAATGCATTGCATACATACATTTAGATGAACTAAAAAATTTATTTGAAAAAATCCACTTTGACATTCTCAAGATTTCAAAATTAAATTAATTTTAGCAGGAGATAGCTTATGCTGCCTCAGGTTTTCGTTAGCTTGATCATGAAGAGTGTGTTCGAATTTTCAAGAATTCACAATAGCCTCTAGTCATATAAATGCCCAAACTTCAGTCCGAGAAAAGATATAAAATGCTCAACAAATACTTTTGTCTTAATTAAACCATTTAGCAGTCACTACACGAGGCCACAATTCGAAGGCCGGTACACTGAGGTTTCTTTGCATGTAGGCTGTAGCTAGCCTTTGCCCACTATTCTTGCTGGCTGTTTGTTTGTGGTTATTGTATGCATTGGCTTTTGCCTTTTTATTGGTAAAGGAAAAACAAAAAAAAAAAAAAAAAAAACCATTTAACACTCATAGAGTTCAGGAGAGAGGCGAGGGATGATCTGAATTTCCAAAGGAGTTTCCTTAGGTAAGGTAAAACCTGCTGCTTCAGTCATGTCCACTGGTCCACCCGTTGGTGTTTCCATGTCAAAACCCTGAAGCAACCTGGCAACCGTCAAATGGATCATTTGCAATGCAAATGTGATGCCTGGACAAGACCGTCTGCCTGAACCGAATGGAATGAACTCAAAATGTTGACCTGACACATCTACATTTGCTTTATCTGTGAGAAATCTTTCTGGCATGAATTCATCAGGATTAGACCACATATTTGGGTCCCGATGCAGCTTCCATAAATTTGGAAACAAACGAGTGCCCTTTGGTATGTGATATCCCGCAATGTAACAATCTTCTGTTGCCTCATGTGGAACTGAAATGGGAGCTGCAGGGTATAAGCGCAGTGTCTCCTTAACAATGGCCTGGATGTACACTAATTTCCCAATGTCAGAGTCCTCTGCCCATCTTTCCTTGCCAACTTTGAGGTCTAGCTCTTCTTGGGCAAGCTGCAATGAGCGTCTATTGTTCAACAAATTGGATAAGATCCATGTCAAGGTGATAGATGTGGTATCGGAACCTGCTATGATAAGACTCTGCATCATAGAAATTCAAATCATCATTAGAATCTGTCTTATTTTGACACAAATCCAAGAGTATTGCAATTTGCAGCAAGATTTAACCTTCTCAATGCTCATACACAGAAAACACTGGTCTGGTACGTCCCGGACACGCACAATGGTGTCTACTCGCATATGAGTAACACATGAGAGGAACACACTCTCGTAAATTGCGACATCTTGACCGTTAGAGCATCATCTTCTTTTTTGTCATTTAATTATATTCTGCCTTTATTAATACTTTACTTCAGTCCTATGCTTTGATACCAGAATACGAAACAGTCCCAATACCAAATAATTTTCCAAAATAGTCCATTAACTAATAATTTTTAACACTAACAAGATAGATATATTTCTAACTATAGGACTATACAACACTCAATATCTTCCATTCTTAATAGTTAAATTTTATATGAATTATATCAAGGTAATAAAGGAAAAATCAAGAGGAACCTTCCTTTACCCTAGTGATTGAAAAAAAAAAAAAAACTTACTATAATGTGATGATTTTTAAGTACACCTATGTCTCATATAGTACGATAAAATAAAATTTAAACTTTATCATAAAATGGAGTAAGAAATTTCCTAGTAAATAATCCTTAAAAAAAATTCCTAAAAATTAAATTTCTTTTCATGTTGAAAACACTTTTACCTCTTCATGAATAAAAATTTAATGGGACTCATAATTTTTTTTCACATCAATATTTCTTTCACAGATATTTACTGATTTTTTTTTTTTTTGAAAATATATTATGATTTAGTTTGGAATTAGGCTCCTCTCGTGACTTTCCTAGTACTTTCTTTTCAATCAAGTAGTATACAAATTTGATAATTTAATTCTAAACATTACTAATTCATTTGTTGATTTATATAATATGTTTTCTATATCACGGAGATAACCTCTTACAACTTCTTCAAAATATTAAAAGTTATCATGGACAGTTGTAGAAAATTCACTTTAATTACATTGAATTTGTTTTCCTACTGATGAAACATGCATGCCTTATGTTTAATACACTCATAAACTATAGGTTTTAAAATATAATTTGACATTTTTGTGTCTGGAGTCCCTGTTAGTAGTGCGTGCCACCGTGTGTGTTTTCAGAAAGGAAAAAAAATAAAAATAAAAATAAAAAATGCAATTGTATTTGTAAGCTAAATATACGCACATATAATAGAGACATACCGTAACTGTTGCCTTGATGATTGTTTCGCGAGAATAGCCAAACAAGGAATCATCAAGCAGGGATAGCAGCACATCTATGAAGTCCATTTTGTTAGAGTTCTCGGTACTCTCCAGCCTCTTCAATTTATGTTCTTGAATCCAACTTTCCATAAGGGAATCCATTTCCCTCGAAACTCGCTTCAGATCTTTTACAGATCCAAGAAAATTTTTCATCCATCCTAGAAATGGAATATAATCGGAATGGACAAAGACCCCTCCAACATACGAAAATTCCTTCATGAGTTTTCTAATACGTTTCCCTTCATTTTCAGCTGTAGCATTACTGAAATATCTCTTCCCTGAAATCATTCTTGTGATTATATTTAATATCATTCGCTCAAAACATTCACTAATGACTATCTTGGTCGAGCCTTGCTTATTGTTGTTACCAAGCAAGTACAAGTCCTTGATAAAGGTATTCACCTCTGAGATCTGAACTTGCCTCAGTGACTTGAGCCTATGGCTGGAGAGGAGTTGAATTGTAACTATCTTACGCATTTCACGCCACAAAGGACCTTTCGCGAAAGCGAATGATGCAAAATTGTAGCCTAGGTACTCCACTTGACTTGCTCGTGACCTTGACGATAAAATCCTATCATTTACTGTGAAGCACTCCTTAATTGCCTCAGCATTGCAAACCACAACCGTAGGGTGCTTTCCCAGCCGAAATCTGAAGATGGGACCATATTTATCTGCCATGGCACCTAATGTTCGAGCAAGCGTCTTTTGCGCCCCTAGTAGATGGAGATGGCCAATAAGTGGCAATGCACCAGATGGTTCAGGGGCCGACAAACCCTTTTCAGTTTTGTACCTATGCTCTCTAACTCTGCGTAAAGTGTACCACAGAACTAATGCTAAAACTGGGGATATCGCTAATAGATGAGAAGAGAGATCCATAGAATGTAGCAGAGAGTTGTAGTTTGAGGGGTAATAATTTCTATGGTTAAATCGCCGTTCCCTATCACTTTCACAAAATAATAAAAAGAAAATACCTGCAGAAACTTCATTTTATAGCCAGCCACATTAAGAAAAAGCAGAGGTTCCTTGTTATTTTTAATTTGGAGTCTAATGAGCCCATAAAGTAACTATTGTATATGTATACTAGTTATTCCTTGAGTGTTATAAAATTTCTCTTGATTATTATCCAAAAAGGAAAAAAAAAATTTGAGTCAGCATGAAAATTTTCTTACCACTTTAGTGGATTTAGATGTGATTTTTTTTATGTGTCTATTTGTCTCCTTAAAAGTGGACTCATAGAGTAACTATTATACATGTATACTAGTTATTCCTGAGTGTTATAAAATTTCTCCCGATTATCTCTCAAAAAGAAAAAAAATTGAGCCAACGAGGAAATCTGGTTATCACTTTTGGTGGGTTCGGATATGATTCTTTTTTATGTATCTATCTCTCTCCTCAAAAGTGTGCTCATAGAGTAAGTACTGTACATGTACACTAGTTACCCTTAAGTATTATAAAATTTCTCCCGATTATCATCCAAAAAATAAAATAAAATCAACCAACATGAAAATCTTTTTATTATTTTTGATAAGTCAAGATGTGATTCTTTGTTTTTCCATATGTCTATCTCTCTCTTCAAAAGTCATAGAGTAATTATTGTACATGTATGCTAGTTACTCTTGATTATCACCCAAAAAAGAAAAAAAAAAGAAATTTGAGTCAATATGGAAATCTTCTTATCACTTTTGATGGGTTCGAATGTGATATATATATATATATATATATATTCCTCAAATATGATCTCATAAAGTAACTACCGTATATGTACACTAGTTACACACACACACACACACACATATATATATATATATATTCCTCAAACATGATCTCATAAAGTAACTACCGTATATGTACACTAGTTACACATTAAGAATTATAAAATTTCTCTTGATTATCACCCAAAAAAGAAAAAAATAGAAATTTAAGCCAATGTGGAAATCTTTTTATCACTTTTGGTGGGTCACATGTGATTCTTTCTTTTTGGTATGTCTATCTCTCTCCTTAAAAGTGAGCCCATAGAGTAGCTATTGTACATGTACATTAGTTAATCTTTGAATATTATAAAATTTCTCCCGATTATCACCCAAAAAAAGAAAAAAAATTGAGCCAACGAGAAATCTTCTTATCATCTTTGGTGGGTCCGTATGTGATTTTTTTTATATATATGTTTATTTCTCTCATCAAAAGTGAGCCTATAGAGTAAATACTATACATGTATACTAGTTACTCCTTGAGTATTATAAAATTTCTTATGATTATCACCCAGGAAAAGAAAACTCCCACTTTCCAAATATGCAAATCTAAGTAGATTTTTTAAATAATACATAATCTAGTTTACACATTTTATATATACATATGCAAATTAATTCCCCACAAATCAATGAAAAATTAAAATCACTAATAATCAAAACATTTTTGGTAAGGAATTTATTTAAAAAATGACTCAACTTATCTTTATGTAATAGGAAAAGTGTTTAATCTATTCTTATATCCTAAAATACATAAATTATATCTATGTATTTTAAGTGATTTTTTTTTTTAAAAAATAAAGATTGAGCATTCGAGTTTTTCACAATTTGGTTTTGGTTTTCGGTTAATCGAACCCACTAAGTGAAAAACCAAACTCGAACCAAAATTATATTTGGTTAGCTAAATTATATCTATGTATTTTAAGTGAACTTTTTTTTCTTTAATTAAGATTGACCATTCAGTTTTCACAATTTGGCTTTGGTTTTTAGTTAACTAAACCCACTAAATGAAAAACCAAACTCAAACCAAAATTATATTTAGTTTTTTTGGATAAAACTGATTTTTTGTTTTTTGTTTTTTTTGTAAAATTTTACATATTAATATTTTACCGAGTTGAGGGTTCCATAGTCCACTTGGCCAAAAGTTTAAGTTTGAAGTTAAATGTTTGATCTACATATTTCTAGCCCACGAGGGCTAATAGATAAGGAGAAATCCATGTAAACTAGGAAAGAGTTATAGTTTAAGGGCTAATAATTTCTAAGTTAAATCGTTGTTTCCTATCATTTTCACAAAAGAATAAAAAGAAAATACCTACCGAAAATTTATCTTATAGCCAACCACATTAAGAAAAAAAGGTTCCTTGTTATTCCTAATTTGGAGTCTAATCTATCAAGATCACCTCTTTAAATCGACACCCACTTTAGGCTCGGTCTTGATTATCACCAAAAAAGGGAAAAAAAAATGTCACTCCCATTTTCCAAATATGCAAAATCTAAGTAGATTTTTGAAATCATGTAGCATTTAGTTTTCACATCTTATATACATACCCAAATTACATGCCTACAAATCAATGAAAAAAGTCACTAAAAATCAAAACATTTTTTTTTGTTAGAAATTTATTGGAAAAATTACTTGGTATAGAGTTACATAATTGAGATTAGATTCCATCTAAAAGAGGCGACCCCTTTTTTCCATATAAGATATATGCTCTAACACTCTCTTACTTGCAGCCCCATCTTTTAGAGTTTGTTAAGTGACTTAAGGCTCTAGGATCTTTGTTAGGCCGTTTGACATCTTTAAGACTCTAATACCATAAATAATTAGATAGTCGAGATTGGATTTCATCCAAAAAATTTATAAGCCTCATGGTGGGTGGCTCATTCTCAAATTTATATAGTAGTCATCTTTTGTTTATCTTTTCAATGTGAAATATGTGCTCTAACAATAAGTTATCCATATACAACATTACCAAAAAAATTAAGATTATCGACGGATTTGAAAACTATCATTAAAAACAATCAATTACGATGGTTTGTATACAAATATAGCTAATTTCCTTTTTAAAATGGATTTTAGTGATTGTTTCTAAATCGTCACTAATTTTTGTCAAATATTAGTGACGGTTTATGTGAAACGATCGCTAATAAACAAATTAATTTAGAATTAACGATGGTTTAATTAAACCATAACTAATTTTTTAAAAATGATTTTTAGCAATAGTTTACAAAAATCGTCACCAAAATCTTCTTAGTCTAAGGATAATTGACGGTTGATAAAAACCATTGCTAAATCCTATTATTTCCCAAAGCCAATATGGGAAGGAAATTTATAAAGGTTTATATATATATATATATATATATATTTGAAAATAGTCACTATTTTTTTATTGTTAAAGGGAAAATAGTCATTTTTGAAATTTTTAGTTTATTAGCAACGGTTTTAGCAATAGGACCAAAACCGTCTCTAAAAAACTTAATCCCTAAAACCTACTACGCACATCTTTTGCCCCTAAATTTTTTTTCTCTCATTCTTCTTCTTCCAGTGAGCTTGCACCTTCGAATTTTCTTTCCAATTTCTCCTCCAATATCGCCTCTAACTACTTCTAAACTCCTCTTTTCTTTTTTTTTCCCTTCTTCCCCTCTATCCCTTCCCATCTCCTCCTTTCTTTTCTTCTTCTTTCTCTCATTTCCTCCTCCTCCCTTCTCTTATCTTCTTCATGGTAGCAACTCCTCCACGATAGCAGCCCCTCCTCTTTGACGATAGCTCCTCCTCCTTCTATACTCCAATTTTGTAATTGTTAACCCATTACGTTTTTTCATTTATTTGAATAATTTAATTTTTGTTGTTAATTATTGTTGTTTTTAGTTAATTTTTAGTTAACTATTAGTTAGCTTAATCGTTAATTGTTGTTGGTAATTATTTATTATTGTTGTCAATTATTTATTAGTTAATTATATTATTAGTTTTTTTTTTGGAACGGGGTTGGTACCTTGATAATTTTATTGTTTGAAAAAAATGAGTGCACGGGAGAACAATCCAGCCTAACCCAATAAACTAAGAGGACAAGAAAGCCTTACCCCTAAAGACAAGAGGACACTCTATAATTAAACAATCTCATCCCGTCTTATTTATCTGCCACCATATTTTGCACACGCGAAATATGCCAAAATGTGTGATTACTCCTTATTTCTCGACATTTTCATACTAGGTATGTAAATAACCAAAAGACCTTATTAATGCCTAATATTATATTGATAGTTACCATTGAATCGGATTCAATACTCACTAAGTCAAGATTCAGTTCCTTACACGAACTAACCCATCCCTAAGTGCTAATAGCTCTACCTTCAAGTTAGTTCCCTCCCCATAGTGGTGTGCAAAACTAACGATAAAAGAGCTCGAAAATTTTCGTATTACTCCACCACCATCACAAAATCCATTTCTAGTCAATCTATCAACATTTAATTTAAATTTACCAAAAGGTGACGGTTCCCACTTGATCCATTTCCCTTTTATAGCTTTCGATAGGATTGGCGTGACGCCTAACTCCTACATCTTTCTTATACCGATCACATTCGGAGGCTTTTTAGCATAAATAAGCTATACATATCCCGTAGGTCCTTAATCACTCGTCTCACTATATCACCTACTACCATTAGCTCATCTTCATATTTTGCTTTGCTCTAACTTTTTCATAACTCCCATAAGACAAAATAGAAGACACTAACTTGGCACATACCCGATTGAGTAATGAACGAGGACATCCATGTCTACGCATACTCCTTTAACGAATTCCACCTACTCGTCATACCCAAAGATTCTCTCAAAATGCCCCACACTTGCCTTGCAACCTAATATTCTAGAAATAACTCGCAATATGGTTTATTTCTTATGATTCGAGTAACATAGGCAAATTGACACTATTGGAATGTGTAGATCCCGAATACAAGAGTCAACTACCAAAGCCCTTTAAACCATTTCCACATAAACACAACCACTCTTATTGGAATGTAAGGGTTCCAAATTCAAGAATCCCATACCCATCTAGGAGAGTGATGATGGATATAATTCTAATATGCTTTAGTCTCAATGTTCCCCAATTGCTTGAGGGTGTAAATCAATTTGTTTTC